ATTGCATTCTTTGTTTTTTATTTAATTGCATTTTTTTTATTTAATTGACTTATTGGATTACTTGTTTTACTTACCATACTTATTTAATTGGTTTTTCATTATGTTATTTTACTTAATTGGATTTTAACTTATTTACTTGATTTAATTATTGAACATTTTTATGTTACATTTTTAAACTTTGGATTAAAATTCACGTAAAGGTAGCCGCCGTATGTACAACTTACATAGTTTTTTGGGCCGGTTAGGATTGGAATTAGGGCTTAGTTTCTAATTGTACATGGATTAGGGTTAGTGTTAATTTACACCTATAAATATATGCAATATGGTGGTGGTTTAGGGTTTAGGAAAAATAAACGTAAGTTCTATAAACCACAAACAGAGCCTCTAATTTTGTAGTGAAAACCAGAGAGCTACAGAGAGAACTGGAGTGGGAATTTGGGTGGTTCACAAAACAGAATTAAGGAGGGAAGTTTGGTGTGTGTTACTGGACTGCAATAGGAGCAGCAAGGGTGGTTTAACACAACGAACGTGGCCGGAGAAGATAGAGGCAACAGTTAGAGATTTTTATTTCAAAGTCTCAAAGGCAAGTCTCAAAGGCAAGTATCTGTTCTTCTCTTTCCCTTTAATTCGTGTTTTGTTCATGCCTAGTTAGACTCTAGAGATTTAATTAAGGCTAAAACGGATTTAAACCAACATAATAACATGTCTTTTATGCATACATGAATTTTGTTTAATCTCGTGAATTAACTGCTTTGAATAATCTTTGATGTTCTGCTATTTGTTTCTTCTGTGGTTTACGATTAAGCTTTCTTTTAGTTGAGATTAGTAATGCGATTAGATGCCTTGTAACTAATCTGGGACTGAGTTTGAACCCTAGAACAAGTTCTTAGAACAGTATTTAATTGCACTAAATTAGTCTGAATTAATTTGTTGCGACTTGCTTAAAATTTGCTAACGGAGGTTTTGTAATCGTTGCTTTAAAACTTGTGTTCCATACATGTTCTAATTGGATATTAGTGGTCTAAAATTTATTTAGGACTAAGATTGAACCTAGAATAAGAATTAGAACACATTACAGAGGTTCTGTAAATCACTGGAGTTGAAGAAAATGAAGCTAGAATGGACAAGGCTGCTAAGAGGAGGGAGAGAAGGCTCCCAAACTTCTTAGAGTCGGCTCCCAAAAGGGAGAGCCGGCTCTTGGTGTCTTGGAGCCAGCTCCAAGAGCCTAGAGCCGACTCTAGGTAGAAAAAATGGAGCAGGCTCCCATTTTAAGAGCCTACTCTCTTTGGAAAACACTATAACGTGGGTTTTAAGGACTGTTTGGTTTTTCTGGGTTTATGCACTTGATTTAAATTGTTTTAAATGATGTGTAGGACTGTATAAGGCTAGTATCATGGTGGAAAAATATAAATTCATAATTAGATTGAAGATTAGAGCAAGGAAAATTCAAGAGAAAATTGGTAGCTTGCACACTGTTTTGTTAATTTTATTTTACTAGAACTTGGCAAGGTTTTTATATATAATCTAATTATATATAATCATGTTTTTTGCAGTGTTATAAGTATGGTGAATTAATTATATTAAACTATGCTTAGTTGGATTTAATTGATACATAAATTGTCATAATTGTATCGGTTTATCGACTGTTTTGGAGAATTAGAACGCTATGATTTATTTTAGCAGATTAAATAATTGGAGCTTGGTTTTAGGGCCTGTACTGAATACCTAATGCCATTATATATGTATTAAACTGTACTGATGCATATTTGGAGAACTGTTGATAAATAAATTAAATGTTATTTTTATCAACTTTGTGGATTGGAAGACTGTATTCACCGGTATGAGACAGTGGCATACTAGGGATGGATTAGTTCAGACACTAAGCCTACCTAATCTAGATTGGGGTTTGGATTAACAATAAAAGTTAAGTCCGACTTCTATCATTGTCAAGTCAGTAAATAACTGAATGACATAATTGGATTTCTGGAATGAACTGTTTTACAGATATCAAGCCACTATATCAGATGGATGATATTTTATATTAAGAGGACACGGATTTTATATATTTATGTTATGACGCTATGGTATGAGTTTGAGTCTCATGACCAGGGTTAGGGTGCGTATATCTCCTAAGATGGATAACTGGACATAGGTGTTGTTCCCTGGTAGGTCTAGGTACACATGACCACGTAATGTGCGATTTGCATGGTATCTCTACTCAGGCTGAGACAAACCTATTGGACTAGTGAGCATCCTATAGTGTGTAATATATACATATCTGGACTACTCTAGATATTGTTGAGTCTATCTAGGATGTATCTGCGTATCGGATTCCTGTTTGGATTGTAGTAGATCAGGACTTGCATGTGGGCTTGACCCACTCTTTTGTTTTTCAGGTGCTCGTCAGTTCCAAGGTTAGAGCTTGGTTGTGCAGAGCAGATACAGACTTCTATTCCACCGACTATGTAGGACTGCTTACTTATTAGTTTTGGATCGTACTTCAGTTATTTCATTTTATAGTTGGGATTTTTATTAGAGGTCCACCAGATGGATTCCCGAGTTGTTAATTAATTGGAGGTTTTGGAGTTTGGATTTTAATAATTATATTTTGAGGATTTTTCATTAGAATTCATTTCAGCTATTATTATTTATTTCTTATTCTTTTAATTTTTCCCTTGGGTTTGGGCCTGGGCCTGATTAACTCGTGTCTTAGATCCGAGGGGTATCACAGTTGGTATCAGAGCACTCCAGGTTCAAGTGTCTCTAGGATGTTTCGTATTCAGACTTCCACGTAGCGTTTTCTCTTTATTAGAGCTTAAGTTTAGGATTCATTGTATTCCTTTACGGTTCGGTTAAATCGTACTGATGTCTGTCTTTTTATGTTGACAGAATGGCTAACGCAAGAACCAGACAGAACAATCAGCTACGAAGGGAAGCAGACTGTAGGCAGCGTCAGGAGGATGAGGGTCAGTTCTATGAGGAGCAGGAGGAAGTTCAGCAGACTCGGGATCAGGGAGGAGATCCAGAGTTTTCTCCTCACCTCAATGACCTTATTGCTCGAGCTATAGAAGCAGGGGTAACAGCTGCACTTCGGAATCAGCCTCAGGTACAGCCGGCACCGTTACCAGCACCGGTTGTTCAGACTGATACTTGGGAGAAGGCCAGGAGTTCTTTCACAAAAGGAAGCCCACCTAAGTTCACAGGCTCCACTGATGCGAAAGCAACTCACCAGTGGAAACAGGTCATCGAGCGACATCTTCGCTTGGTTCAGTGCACGGAGGTTCAAAAGCAGATGCTTGCTACTTTCAAGCTAGTTGGGGATGCACTACAGTGGTGGGAGTCAGTTACCACCATAGAGGAGAGGATGTCATTGACTTATGATGAGTTCAGTGTACTCTTTGAAGACAAGTACTTCCCTTATGCAGTTAGGGCAGCTATGAAGACTGAGTTTCTTAATCTGCAACAGGGGAACATGACAGTAGCGGAGTATGAACAGCAGTTCACACGCTTATCTCTCTTTGCACCGGAGGAGGTGGATACAGAGGAGAAGAAACGCAACAGTTTCGTCAAGGGACTGATGTGGTCTATTAAGAGAGCTATTACAGGTAATCCAGCCTATACTACCTATGCTCAGGTGGTAGACGCAGTTCTACAACAGTATCAGTTGACCGTGAATTTCAGACAGGCCAAGGGTAAGAAGCGGGGTGACAGAGACTCTGTTAATCAGTCAGCTGAGAAAGGGAATGGGAACGGACACTGACAAAATGACAAGGGTAAATTCCAGGGACAACAGCCTTGGAAGAAGCACAAGGGTGGTTTAGATGCTCCCAGGGATGTGGCATCTATTCAGCGACAGCAGATTGGGGGACCTCAGGCAGGACAGGGTCAGCCACAGGCTAACCGACAGAGGAGGCCATTTGGTACTTTCCAGGGTAGTTGTTACATTTGTTTGACAGAGATACAGTAGCTTATTTGAATTTTCGCCAAGGTGGAGATTTGTTGATTTTATTGCTCAATTTTTGCCAACTCACCATGTAATAAGCTCACCCATGACATCAGTAAATGCATCACCCATTTGGTCATCAACTAGGCCTCCAAGTATATGTGTTCAACAAGCATTTTTTCTTGGTCTCCAAGAACTCGTGGGCAGCAAGTTTGGTAACCTATTTTGGCTATAAATAGCCTTGACTCCTCTTGGTTTAATTCATCCAAAAATTGAGTGAGTTTGCTTAATAAAAAAAAAACACAAAGTGTGAGAGAGTTTTGGGTGTGAGCCACTTAAATATTGTATCTATTTATTTTTATAGTGAAATATTGCTGTTTTCTTCCCGTGAATGTAGACATAGTCGAACCACGTAAATTCTTGTCTCATTTGTGTGTGTACTATTTTATTTTATTTTTCATGTCATTTTATTTTTTCTCTTTTATTCTCGTAAACTCTCCTACTCGATTAGGGATGGCAATTTGACCCGCCCCTGCGGTTACCCACCCCGCTTTTTGGCGGTTTTGGGGGACCGTTTTGCTTATTTGGGTGAGGATGGTTTGATGTAATAAAAATCCGTGCAGGTTTGGTGCGGGGGCGGGGGGAGGTCGCCCCGCACCGCCCTGCCCAGTTTTGATAGGCAAATTACTTAAGTACCCTTATTTTATTAATATATATATTTCCCACTATATATTAATTATCCCATATAACAATATTAAAATAACAAATGAATTTTATTAAAAGGAAAGTTGTAATGGTGAAGAATTGAAAATGAGAGGGAAAAAAAAAGAGTAAATTTATTTCAACAATAATTAAATTATGGTCTTAAACGGGACAAGGCGGATATCTGCGGAGGTAAAAATGTTAAACGGTTATGAAAATGGAGTGAAAAGTTCCCTATTTTTATAATTTTGAATGGGAACGAGTTTTTAAACGGTTGCGGGAGCGAAGGGTACACCCGCCCGTCGCCATCCTGAGAAATTAACAAACAAAATTGAAATATAAACCCTTTAGTAAAGTGGATGGAGAACTGAAACCCTAGAATGGCTGCTGAAATCTGCTCGTCGACGTTGCCAGGCATGTTCGGAGCTACCAGGTCTACACATCTTCTCATATACACAGATCTGTCAGAGAATTGTAGTTCAATATATAACCTTGATATCTATCAAAACAATAACATGGATGTTACGGAGTAGGGATCGAGTTAGATATAGAATGGTCAAACAGGATTGATTTAGATGACCTCAAACTGTTGGATTGGCTTTGTTGACTTAGTTATAATCATTTTGGGCTTAAGAAGATTCTGTGTTGGTGGAAAGGATTGGGTGTGAGAATGAATTAGTGAAGGACCGTTTTGGCAGTCAGAATCCGCCATAACAATGTCACTCTTATGATTTACGACCATTCTTCTTTACTGAATGGGTTTTCTTTGTGGAATATAACACTGCATCTAACTGATATCTTGTTGTTAACATTGTAACTGCTTCTATGTTTTGTGAAGGTTAGAGGGGGAGAATACAATGAAAGGAGGGATGCACTATATTGAGGTGAAACAGCTGCTCCTTCTAGCCTATTGCCAATCCATTACCTTTTATCTTCTTCTCAAGTCTGAAGGGCAGGCTGTTCGTGATCATCCTATCACTGCTCGGCTTGTAGAGATCAAAAACCTATTGGACAAGGTTATTATTTCTTCTTGATATCTTGAAATTGTTATTATGTCCATGAAGTCCTATTTGATCATCATGCTAGCTATCCTTTGTATTTTTTACATTGAGGAAACACTTATTCTATTTTATGACACACCTTTGGGGTTTGGAAACCCTTCCCTTGTTCATAACCCTTGTAATTAATACAACTGATGCATCCCGATCGTTGGTCTTGGGCAGTTTTGTGTTTGGATCTGTACTGGGCCTTTGTCTAATGCATTGCTTCTGGCTCTAAAAACACTTGAACTGATGGTCATTTTGTATAGATAAATCTGTCATTTCAATTTAAAATTTGTTCTGCAGAATCCCTTTGATATAGTAATTGAATACAGATTAACATTTGAACTTTTTGCAACAAGTAAATAGGAGTACCAGATATTTGATTCCTAAACTTTCCACTTAAATAATGCTTTGGCACAGTTGAGATAACTTATACAAATCTTTTGGTTAAAAGATAAAAAAGACTAGATAATTTGATTGTCTCCATCTTCTAGGTGCATTACTCTTGGTTTTGATGGGAACAATGCATTATTTAATGCAATAAAACAAATATGTTAACATGTCTTCTGCAAAGGATGGTACGTAAGTATAATAGATTTGATGGACATCTTCATTATTTTCTGTCTTTTTCTCCTTATGGCAAATATAATTAGTAGAGAGAAACAGAAGAACCTAAGTTTGTAATGACATTGTCGTGTCTACTTCCTGCTTGTTTCTTATTTTTGTATTGTGCATTGGAGAGATATTGCTGTACATCTTTTGTAGCACCTCCTGCCTGTTTATTTCTTCAAAGTTTGAAGTTCATTTCATTTGCAGTTTTTTTGCTTTCCTGATGCATATTCACTTTGTAGATGAAACAACTTGATGCGAATCTTCCATCTGGAGTAGAGGAGGTTTCGAACAAAAAATATGGGACTGAAATATCAGTGAAGTCCGTTAGGGTGAATGATGTATTGGTATTGGATTCTTTCTCCAAAGATCACAAGCACTCTCTGGTCTCAGCTGAAGCACAAGCAGCAGCAGTGGTAGTTACTACCTTAAACTTGTCAGTCAATAAAATTCTTGTCGGTTATTTATTTATATTTTTTTGTGATAATCCGATAGGTTTGACCTATAAGTTTCCAATAAAAATGTAGCCCCATGAAGCAGCCAAGTTGGTAAAGGTGGATTCTTTGAAGAATATTGATAACAAAAGAGGGAAACACAAGCATCAGGTTAGTGATTTAACAAATGTTGAACGGTGGTAAACAACAATTGAAGTCTTAGGTCTAACCCCTGCTTTCTCAAATTCTTTCATACTCTCATTGTAATTATTGTTGTTACTACTACTGCTATTACTACTTCCCCACATTTTATTTCATTTGTTGTACAGCATAAGTGGTAAATAGACTGATCTTGAATTCATAAAACATGATAGAATGATCAAGTTGGTCTGCAGAGCATGGAAATGTTAAAAGTAAGAGCAGCTCTGGAGGAAAAATTGAAGCAGAAGGGTATATTTAGTTCCATTGCACCGAAGCGTGATAGGTCTCAAAAACATTTGCAACCAGTGAATGGGTATTACTCTGCCTAAGATGCACCTAGTTTCATGATTCATTCTGTGGGGACCAACTTATGCAACTTGCAATTTAACAGACAGCTTAAGACATTTGATGATGACACCATAGATGTGGGTGGCGCCACTCATCGCATGATTAATGGACAAGCAAGTTCATTGCATTCAAGTAAATTATCTCAACTTGTGACTCCTCAGTTGAAAAAGCCCAAGGTATTGATCTTGATATGATTTTGTCCACATTTCAGTAGTTTTTGAGCTGAAATCAACGTAGACAACCTGATTTACATTCAATTTTGCGCAACCTTTAGCCCCTGGCTATTTAGCGACTTGAAATTATTGTACTTTTCTTGATCTTGTTTTCAACTCCATCATTGTGCAAATCCGAAGGAATATCTTGTTTAATTTTTTATATATTTCCCTGGCAAGATTGGTTTAAGATATCTTTCAAGCTTCTGGAGGTTTTGATACTACATGCTTTACTCTTGATGTTAGAGTCGACAAAATTTTCAGATTCCTGACAATTTATTTCTCGCTTTGAGCCATTTAGTAGCATTCAACATCTAGGAATTTAATCCCACTTTCTCAAGGATTCTTGTGTGAGGCCCTATTTTTTCACCTTGTTTTCAATTTCAAGCAGCACTATGATTTCTGGAATTGAATTTTTTTTTTTTTTGCTGCTCTTCCTATGTATTTTGCTTCTGTTAAAGTTTTGTGAGTTGTACGCAGCGGAATGTATTTAGAAAAGTTTTAGTTTTTGTAAAACAGATATGTGTCGTTACCAACTTTACTTATTTTAGTAATTAAACAGTTAATCACATGCAGATAAAATAAAGCAAAGTATAAAGTTAGAGATGACATCAGGATTTTTGCAAGGAAACCCCAGTTGATCGGCTATTTTCTGCACCGGGTGATGGTCGCTCGGTGCTGGTTTGCAGATCTTGTTGGGAAAATTTGGAGGGCGATGGTCGCCATGAAGTCGGGCGATCAATCGCCTGGCGCTGCTATTGTGCCGTTGGAAATAATCACTGGGCGATAGTCGCCCCAAGGTCGAGCGATGGTCGCCCGGTGCTGCTGCTCTGCCATCGCGGGTCGCCATGTGGCAATCGTCACCTCTTAGCCGGGCGATCATTCGCCCGGGCCTGCTATTTGCTCCGATAAATTTTTTTTTTTTAAGAAGGCAAACTTCAAACGGCCATAACTTTGGCATCGGTAGTCCGTTTTGGACGAATTTTTTTTTTTCATTTTGGGTATTTTTTCAAGATTTACGCGGTGCAAACTGTCGTAGGCGGTTTGGTTGACGTTTTGACCTAATGCTTTGTTATGCTCCAATCAACTTTTTTTTCTTTATATGCCATGGAATTTTATTTTTTTCTTCAAAACAAGCACATCTTGTATTCTGCTCAAGTAACTAAAAATCCTACGAAATACATTAAATCTTCCTAATTTACAAAAACAAAAGATAAAATTAAAGAGAAAAAGAGAACAAAAAAAACATAAATGAAAAATCTTATCTACAATTCCTACATTTAACGTCGGTAGGTGACGTGATACATGGATGATTAGGTGGAGTAAATGGGATCCGTCAAAGTGACGATTCAACTCCTTCTGAAGGCACAAAATCTTCAATGTACAACTTCAATCTCTGACCATTTACTTGTAGTGTCTTACCTTTCTTTGGGTCAAAAATGGTGATAGACCCGTGAGGGGTTACCGTTTAAACTTGATATGGACCATCCCATCTTGAGTGCAATTTCCCTGGAAATAGCTTCAGCTTGGAGTTGAACAACCAGACTTTGTTACCTAGTTTGAAAGATTTTTTTCACAATGTGCTTATCATGAAACGCCTTGGTTCTAGCTTTGTAAATTCTTGCGCTTTCATAAGCATTATTGCGAAGTTCTTCTAATTCACTTAGCTGCAACTTCCTCCTGGCCCCAGCTTGACTCATGTTGAAGTTCAATTTTTTTACAGCCCAAAAAGTTTTATACTCCAATTCCACAGGTAAATGACATGCTTTCCCAAAGACTAAGCGATATGGCGACATCCCAATTGGTGTCTTGAATGCAGTACGATACGCGCATAAAGCATCATTGAGACGTAATGACCAATCTTTTCTATCCAGTCGAACCGTCTTCTCAAGGATATATTTGATCTCGCGATTTGAAATCTCTACTTGACCGCTTTTCTGAGGGTGGTAAGAAGTAGCTACCTTGTAAGAGATGGAATATTTCTGAAATAAGGCTAGAAGAAAGCGATTACAAAATTGCTTTCCACAATCACTGATTGCTGCCCTTGGCATTCCGAACCGACTGAAAATATTGCTTTGAAGAAATTCAACTACCACCTTGTGATCATTAGTTAGTGTTGCTACTGCTTCTACCCACTTGGAGACGTAATCAACCCCTACCAAAATATACTCCTTGCCATATGACATCGGGACCCATGAAATCAATGCCCCATACATAAAAAATTTCAATAACTAGAATTGGGGAGAGAGGCATCACATCTGTTTTTGTAATGGTGCCCAACCGTTGACATCGATCACAAGCCTTAGCAAACTTGTGAGCGTCTTTGAACAAGGAAGGCCAAATTAGCCCACTCTGAAGGACCTTTGCTGCCATCTTCTTTCCACTGAAATGGCCACCGCATGCAAGTGTGTGACAAAATTTCAGAACGCTTGGAATTTCATTATCTAGCACACAGTGGCGAATAATTTGGTCCGAGCAGTACTTATATAATTGTGGATCTTCCCAATGATAAAATTTCATTTGAGAAAAGAACCTGTCTTTATCATGTTTTGTCCAATTAGACGGAATTCTTGTAGACGCCTTCTAGTTCACAATATCAGCATACCATGGTGGATTCTCCTTCTGAAGTTGAAATAACTGCTCCTCTGGGAATGAATCATGCAATAGAAGAGTGCAAGATGAATCTACCAAAATTCTAGATAAGTGGTCTGCCACCACATTTTCTGAACCCTTCCTGTCTTTGATTTCTAGGTCGAATTCTTGTAGCAATAGAATCCACCTAATCAACCTTGGCTTGGTGTCCTTTTTGTTGAGCAAATGTCGAAGAGCTGCATGATCAGAAAACACAATAACTTTGGAACCCAACAAATAAGAGCGAAACTTGTCCAACGCAAAGACCACTGCCAATAATTCCTTTTCAGTAGTTGTATAGTTTAATTGTGCCTCTGTTAAGATCTTGCTTGCATAGTAAATTACTCTTGGCAATTTCTCCATTCTTTGACCCAAGATCGCGCCAACTGCATAGTCTGATGCGTCGCACATAATCTCAAAAGGAAAAGACCAATCTGGAGCCTGCATAATGGGTGCAGAGGACAGTAAAGAGCGAAGTTGCTCAAATGCCTTTAGACACTTTTCATTAAAATGAAAAGGAACATCGTTGCCCAATAAATTGCATAAGGGCCTTGCGAGTTTACTGAAGTCTTTAATAAAACGTCTGTAAAATCCTGCATGGCCAAGGAATGATCGCACTTGTCTCACCGATGATGGGGGAGGAAGATTAGAGATAAGATCGACCTTAGCCTTGTCTACTTCAATTCCTCTCTTGGATATTATATGGCCAAGGACAATTCCTTCTTGCACCATAAAGTGACTTTTCTCCCAACTTAAGATTAGATTCTTCTCTTTACATCATTGAAGAACAAGCACTAAATTCCCCAGGCAATTATCGAATGAAGACCCGAACACCGAGAAGTCATCCATGAAGACTTCTAGAAAGTTCTCAATCATATCAGAAAAAATAGCCATCATGCATCTCTGAAAAGTGGCTGGTGCATTACAGAGTTCGAAAGGCATACGGCGGTAGGCAAAAGTACCATATGGACAGGTGAAAGTTGTCTTTTCCTGATCGTCGGGGTGAATAGCAACTTGATTGTGTCCAGAATACCCATCCAAGAAGCAATAAAAACTCTTCCCTGCTAGTTTCTCCAATATTTGATCAATAAAGGGGAGAGGAAAGTGATCCTTCCGTGTCTTGGAATTCAATTTGCAGTAATCTATGCACACTCGCCATCCTGTAGTAGTGCGTTGGGGAAGTAAAGTACCTTCAGAATTTTTCACCACAGTGATCCCAGATTTCTTTGGAACCACTTGCATCAGGCTTACCCACTGACTGTCTGAAATTGGGTAAATAATGCCTGCATCAAGTAGCTTGACTACTTCCTTTTTCACCACCTCTTTCATATTTGGATTTAACTGCCTCTGTGCTTCTCGCGAAGGTTTGGAATCATTTTCTAAGAAAATCCGATGCATACATACCGAGGGATCAATCCTTTTGAGATCAACCACACTCTAGCGAATAGTTTCTCGATGGGTGGCTAGTACTTCTAATAATTTCTCCTCTTGTACGTCTGATAGCTCTGTCGAAATAATTACTGGAAGAGTACTTTCTGGCCCAAGAAATGTATATTTCAGATAAGAGGGCAACTACTTCAGCTCTTAGCTTTGGTGTAGACTCCAAAGATGGTATTGGTGGTTTACTTGACAATTGTGGAAGTGGCTCAATAGGAATCTTCCATGGTGGAATGTTGTGCATACTCGCCACATCAAGCAGGGCATTCACCTCTTCAATACTTTTCTCAACATCAAATAACTCAGCATCAAAGTAAGATAGACATGCTTCTAGTGGATCTTTTGTCAAGGCAAATGGGGTCATCTCTTCAACGCATTCATCGATGGCATCGACCAGAAAACAATCATTATTATCTGAAGGGCATTGATTGGCATTGAAAATATTTAAGCGCACCTTCATATTGCCAAAAGATACGTCCATGACGCCAGTTCTACAATTTATGCTCGCATTTGCTGTCGCAAGGAAAGGATGACCAAGGATCACTTGAATGTGCCTCCTTGGCTCCAGAACTGGCTCAGTATCGAGCACAATAAAGTTCACTGGGAAGTAGAATTTATCTACTTTGATGATCACATCTTCGATAACACCACGAGGCTGTTTGGTTGACCTATCTGCCAATTGGAGAATAATGGAGGTAGACTTTAATTCTCCTAATCCGAGTTGCAAGTAAACCGAATAAGGAAGAAGGTTTACGCTTGCACCCAAATCTAAAAGAGCTCGCTCTACTTGATGATTCCCTATTGTGCATGAAATTGTTGGAGCACCTGGATCTTTGAATTTTGGAGCAGTGCAGTGCTGGATTATGGAACTGACTTGCTCAGTTAATAGCACCTTCTTAGGAACATGGCTACTTGAACGCCTCTTCTGAGTACACATATCTTTCAGAAATTTAGCGTAAGCTGGGATTTGTTGAATTGCATCAAGCAATGGGAGATTAATCTTCACCTGTTTGAACATCTCCATTATGTCCTGAAGTTTGCTTGCTTGCTTCGCTGCTTTTGATTTCTTGTAGTCTCTGAGGGAATGGCACAACTGCATGCCTTTGTTCTGGAGATGGCTCAATAGTTGGAGGTACTTGTGCTTTTTCATTACGCTCATTTTTCTCTTCAAGTTTTTTCTTCCAATTTTCATCCTTCTTTGCTTCCTCTTCTTCCACCTTGTTTTCAACTCTCTTACCACTTCTCAGAGTAATAATTGCTTGCACTTGTTCATGGTGGACTTTTTGGCCAGTAATGTCATCAATTATACGCACACCTCTTGGATTAGCTACTGGTTGACTAGGAAGCTTGCCATCTTCTCTTCTATTCAAGGCTTGAGCTAGTTGACCAACTTGAGTCTCTAACTTGGCAAGGGATTGAGAATGAGATTGCAGAAGTTAATTAGTTGGCTCTAATTGCTTTGCCATCATTGCCTCAAGCATTGATAAGAATTGTTGAGGTTGACTGAAGGCATTCATAAGAGTGAACCCTTGAGGATTTGAAGTCTAAACTGGAGATTGAAAATTGCCTTGCACCTGAGGTACTTGAGGTGGAGGAACTGATGTCCCTGTGGCTTGATTTCTCCATGAGAAGTTTGGATGGTTTCTCCAAGCCAGATTGTAAGTGTTTGAATACATATTATTCCCTCAGGTCCTTCCATAGGTAGGATTGCTCTTATGGAATTTCTGAATTTTGAGCTGCACTTGGACAAATGGACACATGGTGAGTTGGACTGGAATATAAAGAGCACACTTCAAAGCCTTGAGCATTAGTCGAAGGAGGAGTAAAATTTGACTGTGAAGTCATCAATTGATCCATCCTCTTGGTTAATGCCTTAATTTGGCTCACTTGCCCTTGAATTATTCCTGCTTCATTTACACTTTCTGCTCTCCTCAATATAGTATGAGGTCTTGCTACTGGTGGTAAGACATGTTGTGTAGAATTATTAGATATATTTTCGAAAAGTTGCCATGCTTCCTCTACATTCTTCAACATAAAATTTCCACCACAAGAGGCATCCACCATATACCTTTGTGCCTCATTGAGCCCCTTATGAAAGAAGTTGACAAGCTGCCATTTTGGCATGTCATGATGTGGACACTTCCGGAGGAGGTCTCTGAATCTTTCCCAAGCCTCATGAAAAGGCTGGTCAGGCCCTTGAGAAAAACGAGTAATAGCATCTCAATATTGAGTAGTTCTCACCATGGGGAAGTACTTGTTCAAAAACTTCTGTTGCAATGCAGCCCTTGTAGTAATGGAGTCTGCTGGCAATGAATTAAACCAGTCCTTTGCCTTGTTCATCAATGAAAAGGAGAAAAGGTGCAGCTTGAGCACATCATCGTTAAAGCTTTGGATCTTTATTGTTCTGCACACCTTTGCAAAGTCATCCAAGTGCCAGTATGGATCCTCTTTTGATAGGCCGTAAAAAGAAGGCAGTAACTGAAGAGTACTGGCCTTAATTTCGTAGTGAGGGGTCCTCACTTGAGGATACTGAACTTTACATGAAGAGTTGTATGCACCTGGTTCGTAGTGATCCTTTAAACAGCGAACTGCTTCTGCAGCTGGTGGATCATCCGCCATCTTTTCTTTTTTAAGGCCTCCAAAATTTTTCTTCAAGTTTCTGAGAGTCCTTTTGATTTCTAGGTTTAACGGAAGCTGAGGGAGTGACAAAGAACGTCTTTCAAGCATATAATGTCACTTACATTAATTAAAAGAAAACAGTATTAAAATAAAGAAATAAATAAAATTAAATAAAATTAAAATCCTAAACTAAGATTCTAGTTGAAATTAATTGTAGAATTTAATATTATTTGTCAAGAACTAAAACAAATCCCCGGCAACGGCGCCAAAAATTTGTTGTGAGATTTATATGTACCACTCGCAAGTGCACGAATTTTTGTAGATAGGATTTACTTGTAAGGGTGTCGTACCCAAGGGACTTGTATAAATTAAGTTTGTCAACAGATTTCTTAAATTCCAAATTAACTTGAAAGTAGGATAATCGAATTGTGATGATTTATTCTAAATTAACTAAGTCGAAAAATAAAATAAACTAAAGAACAATGATTAAATAGGATGTAGAAAATAGAGAGAGAGGACTAGGGGTATGACTTCACCACTAACGTCGCACCACCAGTTAATTGCATCAATTTATTGGAGATATATTATATAACATGCATAGGGAATTAATCATGGCTACAAGCGCATATTAATTCAGTTAGAAAATAATTTAATTTAAAACTAAGCATAGACTATCTTCGATTGGCATAAATCATCTACCTAACTACTTTACTCTAGGGTGTATTAAGGTCTATCTTTTCTAGGCATAATCCATCAAATCTCTAACATTATATTCAGAGAAAAACCATTGTGTAATCATCTCATTCACAATTATAAGAAGTGAATGAGTTGTGTTCAATCACAAGATTAAAATATCTAAGACAAGATAGAAAAATATTTGTAATTGAATTAAAACTCTAAAACTGATTCTTATTGAAAAGTCAATTAAAAATCCTATAGATTACACAATCATGCATGATAAAAAGTGTTTCTCTAATAATTAAATACAATCAAACCAGTGTGCTAAGCTAGGGCTACATCACAACCCTAGCAAAGCGTTTAGCCAAGCATGACTGGAGTGGAATTCTTCATGGTCGAGGAAGACATCTTCACCACCATGGATTGATCCCTTCCTTCTTCTAAATGCTCCTCTCTAATCTCAGTCTCAAGCTCCTCTGTATGATCCCTCAATGTTGTAGGGTACTCCCTTTAAATAATAAAAGATTAGCCCTAAAGTTCCTTTTTTCATATAGAAGACATATATAGAAATTCTGTCAAATAGGGACTCCAAAATTCGTACAGACTTCCAAGCCAATTTTGACAAGGTAAACAGCTGTTTTAGGGAATCCTCATTAAATACAAAATTGTAGCTCTTGGAATTTCCTTTCAATCTACGCGGGAATTTAGCTGTTTTGACACTCAAGGAGAGAGATACAACCAGATTACCAAAAAGGGTTCAAGTTACCAATTTCAGCGAAAGTTTCCTTTTTGGAGAAGGAGTTTTACTTTTTCTTCTTTCCATTCTCATCAACTTGTGGCTTCTTTTGCACTATTTTCTAAGTATAATTAGACTTGGATCTTCAACATTGCTCGGTCCCACGGAATGTCATCCTTTAAAGCTCAGAATCACTGGTCTTAACTGATTTTACAATTAAAGCCCTGAAATAAATAAAAATAATAAAACAATGTAAAATCACAAATAAAATATTGTTAAGAAAATAAAACATGCAAGTAAAGGGGCTAAAATGTATAACATTCAACGCCTAACAGATAACAAGTAGAAAAATAGTAGGGTAGTAACAATGCATTACATTTACTGTACTTTCACCACTTGTTTAAATTTTTCACTAATTTGTCAACGAAAACACAAAACAGAAGTTGTTTTCAGAAAAGAAGAATTTGTTGTGCTCTTATAATCAATATATCATTGTGTATTTGGAGGGGTCAGCTGGCCCCTGGCACTTGGGCAAATAACCCTAATTTGCTTTGCCGGTTAATTACCACCGGTCCTCCACCACCCCATCCCCAAAAAAGAAGCCCAAATTTATATACTCATAAAAAATTAGGAGGAGAGAGATTTCGGGTAGCTCGGGTCAACCCGAAGACAAGTGCTTATGATACTTCGAAGCGAAACAGACTACTTGTATTACACACAGTGACACAGACATACTCACACTCACACATGCCTCAATTCTGGAAACCAGGGTCCGAGAGGCCTCGCCTCCTCGACGACGAAGAAGGCGGCGTTCTTTCCTACACCACCTCTTCCTCCTCATCATCTGGGTACTTTTCTTCTTCAATCGTTGTGTTTCTTTGTGTGTGTATATATGTACGAATGTGTATAACTGTATATTAGTATCATATATGCAAATGTTCCTTCGGTTCACAGATTTGGCTATGCAAGCATAGAGAAGCAGAGGCAGAGACTCCCTGTATACAAGTACCGAACAGCTATTCTATATCTGGTGGAGACTCACGCAACCACTATTGGCGAGACCGGTAGTGGCAAAACCACTCAGATTCCTCAGGTTCACTTTCCCTTTGTATACCTATTGTATCATGTTGTGCTCTTATAATCAATATATCATGTTCCAATTTCATTACTGAGACTTCACTAAAGGGTCTTCCTGTGGAAATCTAACATGAGAAGGACCCACAATTTGAACAAGTCCATCAACGTTTTTTTCATAACATTTTGATCAGTGTTAGGGTTTCTCAAAATTACAAAAAATATAGGTCCTGCTTGGTTCAGTTTTTAATTTTTTGAAAATTAAAAATTATGAAACTGTACAAAAACCTGCTTGGTTTACAGTTTTTGACAATTGTTTTATGAAAACTCAGTTAAGAAAAAAGGTCTGTTTTAGAGAACGGTCTTTTATTGTTCTCTGAAAACAGTTTTCTATTTTCTTAGTTCTTGAGAACTGTTTTCTCAGTAAAAAAAACCAATTAGCTTCATTTTATTTAGTTGGTCCTTTCCATAGCACATTAAACCTGTGGATAACTGTGAAAAAGAAAGCGTGAGTGAATGAGCTGATTACTACTATATCAGACACACACAAACTAATGCGTACACATAAAAATAAAATTGTTGTGTATGTATTTTTTATGTTTAGAAATGATTGTGTATTTTGAAGATATTTGAATGAATGCATTGTGTGATAAATTCAAATGTTCTACTTTTTTTGTTTTGTCTGAAATTGCAGTACCTCAAAGAAGCAGGTTGGGCTGATGGTGGACGCGTCATTGCTTGCACTCAACCAAGACGATTGGCTGTCCAGGTATTATTTTCTTAGTTTGTGCTATGTCGGATATGTTATATTTTATGTTTTCATTACAAGTACTTATAAGGTTGTTTCGGTTGCTATGATACTATTTTGGTGAGGATGTTCTACATGGAGGAAAATGTAGTCAGTATAGGAGTAAAAGATATGTGGCATGTAGTTTTGAAGTGTTTTTTCATTAAAAGTGACTTTTCATAAATTCAAGGGCTCTGTAATTGTACTCTTAGGACTAAGATTTGTTCATGTATCCTTATTTGATGAACTTGCATCTTAATGAGAATGTTTTAATCACACTATCTTTAATTGAGGGAGAACATGAAATTCAGCCCAGTAGACCATATACTAGAGGCTTTAGCTAAGTTGATATTGATTTGTGAAGGTTACAACTACTTGTTCAAGTGCTATCAATATATCATGATCTTAATCCCTGACACTGAATTAGTTAATTGATGGATTAAATAGACCGGCAATGCTTGCCATATTCTTTTAACCAGAAAGGCGGTAGCTGGTAGGAAAAGATTTTTCTGCATTCGTGGATGTAATGGATCATGTTACACTAACTGTAAGAGATATAGTGCTTTACTAGTTTCACCATGTTTGATGATCCTTTTCTTTAACTAACACTTGAAATAAGGAACCTGATGGAGGGGAAGCTATGAAAGTAAAGGATAGAACAACTTTGAATCCACAAAATTCAGAGAGACAAATTCTGATAAGTTAAAAAAAAAAAAAAAATGCTGCAACTATAACCACTATTTATGAAGGTAAAAGAATCCTAAAAATAGAAGGAATCATTTTTAAATTGGTCCAATTTGGCTGTGTCTGAAAAAATAGAGATAAGTTCCTAATTACTTAACTAAAAAATAAAAAAAAAGACAGACCAAATTTCAGATTCAATCCAAATTCATTTAGACCTCGCAAAAGAATTCTGAAATATTCGACAGTCTTCCTATGGAACTGAAAAACGCGATTTTTGGGGATGGATTTTGGCCAAAAATGACATGGACCACAAGCAAAGCTCGTGGGCATTGATTGTTAAGAATTATGCCTCGAAAATTTGCTGCTAATTGTTTTTTAGATCTTACCTACCTCTTGAGTTTCTTTTTCTTTTTTCTATATTCTGTTTACTGCTCTTTTTCTGATGGTTCACTTTACTTTGATATCTATAAAGAATTATTTTATTCACCTCTTAGAAGTTTAAGGTTTTTCTGATGCATAGGCAGTTGCTTCAAGGGTGGCTGAAGAGATGGGTGTCAAATTAGGAGAGGAAGTTGGTTATACGATTCGATTTGAAGATATTACAAATACAGTGAGAATTCTTGTCTGTTAATTGCTTTTTTTAAGATTACATATAACGAGTGCATCTTTACCAATATGTTGCATCCCACATGGTGTGTATTGATAATCTAAATGGTTATTTACAGTAGGATCAAATTGTTTTATATCAGTCATGTGGTTGTATTTGTGTACTATGAAGCGCTGGGAGTTTTCTTGTTTTGACAGTGCAGGGTGTAACTAGGGTCAAATTTCTTACAGAAGGGGTGTTACTCAGGGAAATGATGGACGATCCTCTCTTGAGCAAGTATAGGTACCCATTTATAATTCAGAAGCAAACCATAAAATTTTTGTCCTTTTTTACTCTTTCTTTATCATGTTAACAGATGCACTTTTAAACTTCCTGTAATATCTATCTAATTAACAAGACTAATATATAAAATGGAAATCAGTAGTCCTCCTATACAATTTGGGACAAGAAAATAGTGAAAATTTACCACCAAAGGCTGAAGCCTAGTGGTATCTCCTCTATCTCCTAATGTTGAAGGTGAGGGTTTTTGAGTCCCCGTAGGGACAAATGGGTGTGTGAATTTCTTGCCAATGAAAAAAAAATATAGTGAAAAATTGATGGCCCATAAAAACTTATAAGCAACTTGTTTGGTATCTTACTCTGGTCCCCCTCCACAAGGAGGGACAAAGGAATGGTGGACATTGAAAAAAATAGTTATTGTATGATGAATGAACAAAAATTGCTTTTATAATGTTGTCCAATCTTTAGATTTCATCTATGTGATTAGAGGATAAAGACTTTTTTAATATCTTAAATAACAATGAATCCAGATAAATGAATGATAAATTAAATAAGATATTATCTAGAAGATTATTATGGCAAGATGTATTTGAAGAGGATAAAAAAAAAAGTGTGCCAAGTGATATTCCTATCTCCAAAAGAACTTCATTTTTGTATGTGTCAAGTAGGGCACCAAAATACCATTGTGCTAATAATGCCAAAGAAGAGCCTATGCAAATTGGAAGTACGTACTTCCTAGGTACTCAGCCAGTCAAAATAATCTGAGATTTAGATTTATCAACTGGCTATTAGCCCAATGGTATAACCTTCCTTCCTTAAAAGGGGGAGGGAAGTGGTTCGAGCCCCGGTGTGGGCAATGTGTGTGAGTACTTACCCACTAAAAATAAATAAAAAATAAAAATAAGATGTATTACCTAACATATATCTTTGTTGTTTAAGAAAGTCACTGTGAGTTTGCACCTGAGAACAATGTAGGAATATCTACCTTATAGAATCGAATTGCATTGGTATTTACTTACATTTTGGATCATCACTTCTAAATTGATAATAGCTTTATTTGCTGCCAATTCTTTGGTGCATCTGAAAGGATTAAGTTCCATGGTGGGTCCTAGGAATTACTTTTGGATGAACTATGTCTGCTTCCACTAATCCTTATTATTATTGTATTCATTGTGAAATTTCATGTGTGTGAATATTCTGGAGGGTGGCTCAGCTAACTTAATCTAGCTTTAGGATTTGGTAATTTTGTTTGATTTATCTTATTTGTCTATTCAATTGGCGTTAACTATTTTAACATGACAATTCCAGTGTTATAATGGTGGATGAAGCTCATGAAAGGTCTCTTTCAACAGACATCTTATTGGGTCTTCTGAAAAAGGTACTTTTTCAAAAATTAGGATTAACCTGTGATTGAAGTTGGTGATTGTATTGAAGTTAGTGATTGTTTTTGTCAATCCTATACTTCTTGACCTAATTGCTAAATTTGTAGATCCAACGGCGTCGACCTGAGCTGTGTCTCATTATCTCATCCGCTACAATTGAAGCAAAATCGATGGCTGCTTTTTTCCAAACCAGGTTTTCTTCATAATACCTTGATAATATTGGGTTCTAAATTTGTTTCATTGGTTGATGTTGCCATTCTATTGGTTAATATTGGGTTCTATTAATTTTTTGTTGGTACATCTTGAGTGTCTTTCCATGTATGTACACGTGTATCTGTGTAGACTGGCCTGTCCTCTATCTGGGTCGACTCCTTGTCCAAACCCAAAATCTTTACAAATTTCTTGGTTTCTTGTGCATGAGTGATTCATGGAGACTAACTTCAGTTGCTTCCACTTTTTAGTTGGAGGCATTTGTTTTAAAAATACAATCTCTTTTGGAAAACCTGCAACTTCCATCTAAAATGGCATTATCCTCCTAATTGTTTCATATAGCTGGTTTTGCGTAATCCTGCTTTGCTCAAAGTTATATATGTTCCATTAATTTCCAATAAGATGGATAATTTTCAAGATCATTTCATTGATATACTTATTTAAGCTTCAATCTTTTAGTCCCGAATCGTTGGAAGGATTCACAAGTTGAATTTTAATCTGGAAAAGTTGTCATAATTCTAATTTTGACTTAATTTTTGAATGTTCATTTGGTCAAGTATCTTTGGATCTTCCTTTAGGTTTCTAATACTTGTGGATGTATTTTGTTGTATTATTTGTATCAGAACTTAACACAGACAAGCTGGTAGGCTTTGTAGAGTTGGAATGCCTGAAGTTAATCCATTTAACGTGCAGTACTCTTGATTCACACTGATTGAACCCAAAACCAATTGGCAGCTTGGCCTAAATCTCATGTACTTCTCTTTCCATAGCCCAAACAAGATAGTGAATGGAGCAAGGGTTTATATGAACTTAATAAAGCCTAATAAATGTGCTAGAACATCAAATTAATTAAAGTTTGCCGAAGGGTGCCTGAAAACTCAATAGACTCTAAGCAAACTTGCAATGGAGTTCATGATGTCAATTTTATAGCTGAGCTATTCACCCATGTTTTTTTTATATATATATATTTTTATTTTTAGCATCATTTTTTTTTTTTTGATAAGTAACATCATCCATGACTCTAATTCTCCAATAACTAAAAATTATCTTTTTTGTGGGAAGGGAAAAAAAATTACTTGTCTCGCATAATTTTCTCAGTTTCCCTCTTTCTTTTGTCCTTTCTCTATTTCTGTCTCTTTCTTTTATTTCTATGTTACCATGAATAGTTTTCAACCTGATTTGGTGGCCCTGACCATGGCAAAGCTTTAGGAATTTTTTTTTTTGAAGACTTCTAACACTTTCATCAATTTCTACTGCTTGTGGTTTTATAGTCCTAGGTGTCAGTTAATTTTTATTTTTATTTTGTAAGTTTATTGATTTCACGTAGTCAAGATTGATTACTTGAAAAATCATCAAGGGCTCTCTCTCTCTCTTTTTTTTCTTCTCTATCTGTGTGTGCGCGCGCGCGCGCAAGTGCCCTATGTCCGTCCATTACAACACAAACTTCTTATGTTTATTGAAAACTAGCAAAAGGCGTTTAGGACTGGAAGCTGAGGAGCATGGACCGAGGACAGAGCCTGCCATTCTGTCAGTTGAGGTATGCTATACTGGATTCTAACTCTTTATATACTATTTATTGGAAGACAACTTTGATGTTTCTGAAATGGATTTAGCTTTCATATGAGATTATGACTTATCATAGAGAGGTATAATAAATTAAGGTATCAAAATTATTTACTTAACTTTCAGGGAAGAGGATTTAATGTACAACTTTTTTATGTTGAGGAATCTGTTCCAGACTATCTCCAAGCTGCTGTTTCAACAGTACTGTCAATTCATGATCAGGTCCGTAGAAGCTTGTGATAGGATGACTTAATTATGTGAACTTTCTTGCCAACCAATACATGAACTCTAATTGTAGGGCGGTTCTTTTTGGTGTCCAATAATACATGTATATAGTTGTGGTTTCTGCTTAGATACTTCCCTTTCAACTATGCCAGCAATATTTTATATTATTTGGAACACAGCCACAAACACAGAAAAATGGAGACACGTATAAGGTTTTATTTACATACTTCACTTCTGGCAATATCAGCTATACATAAAGATAACAAGAAAAGGTCATTAAATCAACTCTTTTCCATATACTTTGGCTCAGAATATCTCTGTCTCTTCAGACTTTGGAGTATTGCCACCCTCTTAACTCTCTCTCTTATCATGCTAGAACTTAGTTATTGCTTTGTTATTGCTTACTGAATTCAGACAAATTCCCCCCTTCCCATCCTCTAATTAGTTTTCCAAGCCATTTTTGTTTCTTACATCCTGTAATTCTCTCTTAATTCAACAAAGCCTTAAGCTCTAACCACTATGAGTCTGTCGCATAAATCTTTTTTGAACATTCAGCTTTATGTTGGGTCGTGTTTGTTGTTCAATTATGGATAATCATATATCTTCTTCTCCCCCAACCACCCTTAGAATTTTCTCAATCCACACTTTTTTGGCCACCCTTTTGTTCTTTAACATCACCAACTTAATTATTTAACTCCATACTTTTGTGGAGGCCTACATAACTTCTTTTCTTCTACTTGTTATCGATTACAAGCAGAATGTGATGGATACCTCCTATTTGAAAATGTATACATTTATTTTTGTTTTGTTCTAGTTTTTGTCTTTTTTTTTTGTTTGTGTTTTTTAAGTGTGGAAGGATCAATAATACTGGTCATCCATTTACATTTGTTTTCTAGGAGCCAATGGGTGATATCCTAGTATTCTTAACTGGTCAAGATGATATTGATGCTGCAGTCCAATTGCTCACAGAAGAAGCTCAAAGTAATGGAAAGTCTGCTTCAGGTATCCTTGGTTTAGGATTCATCATTTACGGCAAGGCAATCTTTTCTGGGTAGTAGTCTCTCTGAAGTCATTTTTTCTTGGCATATTGGTGGTTAATATTTTCAACTTAAATTAATACATGTTGAATTCATATTTAAGTTTCAATCTACTTTTTGGCTTAGGGCTTTCTTGGATTCCTATGCAATATATCAGAATGTCTCTTTTTTATTGATAAGTAGCAATATGTCTGAATGTCTCTTTACAGTTGTGTTCTCATTATCACATAAAATAGAAATTTTCTTTTTATTCTTGACTAAGATTCGGTTTTCAGAAGACTATTTTAGTCCCCTGACGGTTTCGTATTTGTTCAAACCTATAAATAATTGAACATTAGAAATAAATTATTACAAATTACAGCGTTACACTTACCATGACCATTTGATGAGATTTCAAATCCTTCATTAGATAAGAAATACCTTTTTAACATATTTGCAAATAACCAACTCATCATTCTTTGTCCTGCCTTTAGGTGCATGCCATGAAAAAGCAAGTTGCATCAGGATTAATCTTGCTATATCCAGGCCTCTGGAGAAGCATCATGCATATATCATATTTTGACAGGGTTTAACACCTACATTTTTAATGTTATCCTGACCACATTATATACAGTATATATATATTTTATATCATTATCCAGCTTCATGTATTGGACTACAGTGCAACATGGAGGTTGGTAGTTTCTATTTGCAGTTTCAATCTAGCCATGTTAAAAACTTACTAGCTGTATAACACAGCGCTATCAGTTTGATTTTTGTAAGAAGACCGTATGACATGTTTATCTTACAGCATGATCTTAATTACTTTGTCTAGCTTATACAATATATCTGACCAAATTTCACTAACAGGATTGATTGTTTTGCCACTCTATTTGGGACTTTCGTGCGCAGATCAGGTTAGTGACTTATCATATGGCATAAGGGCATAATAAGTAAATGTTGTAATGATTCTTTTCAGATTTTTACTTAAGAAGTTCACTTTCATGCTTTCTTTTAGGACCTTATTTTTTCTCCTACTCCCAGAGGTAAGAGGAAGGTGGTGATATCAACAAATATTGCAGAGACCTCTCTGACTTTAGAGGTAACATCTTCACATTTTGAAGTAAAATTTGTTAGATATAAATGGAAAAGTTTCAAGCAGGCAGTGGATAGTTATCTCTTATTCCCTTCCAAAATTTGTACTTTTACAGGGTATCGTCTATGTTGTTGACAGTGGGTTCTCAAAACAGCGGTTCTACAACCTGGTATTTATAACATTGTTTCTTGTATTTTGTGTGTGTATTTGTGTGTGTGCTGTTAACAGGATTGGTGACAATTCTGGCATATGTTCATTAATTATTGGGTACTTATACCAATCTCCTCGAGGCTTGGTGCTACAATACGCAAATAGAACTTTCCAGTTTACAGGGTCAACCTCTACTTTAGTTGAGTTGGTCTTTTGGATTTCCCTTGCTGTTAAGACTATTAAAGCCTTTTTTTTTTTTTTTTTTTTTAAATGTTAGAAATGTGATTCCTTCTGTGAAAAGACTGAAACTGCCTTGTTTATGTATGTATAGACTGCTTTTCCCATTTACTAAGATTCTCAAGAGAATAGAAATACTCATAATGGAAATTGCAATTTTTTTATATTATAAACATGTATATATTACAGATTTTATTGATATAAATTTGTCATATATATATATATATATATATATATGTATAAAAAATGCACTATATATTTTATTAATTATATAACAATTAATATGTAATTGAAAAGTCTTCAAATTTGAAGGCTGAATCAGCAGTTCCTTTTTTCTCCATGCTTTGATTGCCCTTGCATTTTCCATGCCCTTAAGTTTTTCTCTTTGTTTTCCTTTTCTTCGCCGTTCACTATTGACTACACTAGCTGGTCACCCGTTCATATCTTTTGACATGCCAACAATCAAAACCTAAAACCTAATGCCAATAGAGAAATTAACCGAATTTTGTATGCAAATTCAAGCTCTGAATGTCCAATTTGGGATTGAGAGAACAAAGATTTTGCTGGGTGTTCTGGCATGGATTATAATTTTAATATTGGTGGGCACCATCAGGGATGGCAGGATTTGTGGAATTATAAGATTGTTACCCAAGGCTTTATGTGTCTAAGTATGAGTAGAAATTTAGACCTAAAGGGGTGTAAATCGGTCTTATGGATATTAATTTTGAATTTAAGTTATTTTTAGTTAGTTATGTTGATTGTGATTTGATTCTTTATCTGTTACAGATTTCAGATATTGAAAATTTGGTAGTAGCACCGATATCCAATGCATCTGCTAGACAACGGGCTGGTCGAGCTGGCAGAGTACGACCGGGAAAATGTTATAGGTGCCTGACTTACTACACTCATTTATATTTATAAGAAAATAACTTATTACAAGCATTTATTTACATCATGATGTCTGAGGTCATATTTTTTTGTTTTTATTAATATGTCATCATTCGTTCCTTGGTCCTAGAGGTTGAACCTGATGAGGTTGGTCTTGAGTTCCTAGACTCAGGAAGGCTCGAGGTTGCAATAACCCCTAATCACCTTTCTCGAGTTCCACACTTAGAAAGCGTGATCGGCCACTAAGCCAAACCCCAAATATTTCTCGAGTTCCTACACTCAAATTTTGGAAGTCTTTGCAATAATGTTTCCCTCACCATCCTTGAGTTCCTACACTCGAGAAGGCTCGAGGTTAAAAAAAATAATTATTATTATTATTATCATTTTTTTTTTTCACATCACACACAAGATACTCAACTCCCACAAAATATTGTTTTTTTCCGTTACTTAGCACAAAATAGCAATGACACTTTCACTCACACATCCCACAGTTTCCATCAAAAACTAACCTCACACCCTATGTCCCCATACACAACTAACCCACATTGCTTCCATATTGGTAATTTAAAGATATTTTCATTGCCAATCAGTTAAAAGGTCAATGTCTCCATTGGTCTCCACTATCACTACTTGCAAAATCACCATCTTCTCCTCGAGCTCCTTCAGCTTGGCCTTCGCCTCTTCAATACGAGCATCCAGCTCTCTCGCTTGAGGAGCCACCTGCCGCTGCCTTACGAGCCGTTCCGCTATATTCAGCCTTTTCACCGGCCACCCCATCTCGATCTTAAACCACTGAAGATCTTCCACAATCACATGGGCCTCCTGAATCAGCGCTTCGAGACTTGCCCCTGCTGTTATCTCTGTAAATATTTGAAGAATCCTTCCTAACAGTTCATAGGCCCCATGCCTGCTCGACACATGTCGCCTCGACAATGCCACGGTTATATCTTGATGATTTTGCAATGCCTGTTCTAACAACGGAATAAACTCCTATGGAATTCGCACACCCATAAACTCGCCAGTTGGTGCCATTAATACCCTACTCACAGATTCATTGCTACTTATGGCCGAGCCCATAACGGGCTCACTATACCTTCTATTCACTACAACTGCATCACCTTGTGTTCTTACAACCATTACTACTACCAATAATCCCACATCTTCCTTGGCCTCTACGGCTGTGCTTAGAGTCCTCGGATTGGGTCATGTCCCTTCTTTAACAAGTACCATGGTTTCTTCAACCACTGTTTACTCTCGCCCCTCTTCCTCTCGCTTTCCCTATGTAGCTGCTTCTGACAGAACCTGCCTCGGCTCACTTTCCAGCCCTAGTTCCACCTCAACTGGCTCTTACCGATTTCCTCTAGGCGTCCATGCCTCTTCATGCATCTCCACTTCATTGGGGTTATACTGTTCTAGATCTAGCGGGACCTCCTCTTCTCCTATTAGCTCGAGCCCGCCTTTGTCGCTTTCCAGCGTACCTACTCCAAGACATTCATGGCATAACAAAGCTTTACCCATAGTTTTCTTCAACCGGCCATATAGGCCTATCACGAGCATAATCACAAAACTCTAACACTTTCCCAAAGTCAAAGGGCTAATATCTAAAAAACTCACCTTCAACACCGATGCTTGCCCCCGCCCCTGTAGTTGTCTCGCTTCTAGTGGCTACCACTCTCTGTCTCAGCTCCCGCCTTCCAGTAATCAACAGACTCCATTGAGCCATACTGGCCTCTCTTCACAGTTCTAACCCCCGTTTCTTCACTGACACCTTCTGCAGTGGGTTATTTTGACCTCACATATGGCTACCTTATGTCCACCACGTTGGATTCAATCACCACTCCAGTCCTCCCTTCCTCTATTTCTACCCTCACCACTTTAGTTTGCGCCCCCGCGCGTGTTGTGAGCCTTCTTCGTTTATACGACGAACTCACTCCAACATTTCTTTCTGACAAGGGTTCTATTGTTTCCCCCACATTGGCTCTCATTGACCCAACGCCTTCCTCAGGTTCTCCTTCCCCCTCACCGGACTCACTCTGTTCTTTAACTGTTCCTTGCAAATACAATGGTGCAAATCGCGAAAAATCTCCTCGATTGCCTTCTCGAGGCAATCTCAGTGACCAGCCCAAATGACTCGCACCGGTGCCCTTTCGATTAGAGAGTCACAAAACCTCCTGAAATGCTCCAAGGCCATTTTCTAATAATTCCTATGCTCTAAGGTTGTTTATCCCTACTGATGTTGTGATGGACAATACCAGCGCCCCGCGCCTTCTGTCAACATATTATAATGATCTTCCAAGAACCTGAGAAAACCTCGTCGATAATCGCCCGCCTCATAAATCACTACCTGAGGCTGTGGCACAACTTGGTCATATCCAAACTGTTGAGTTACCCGTCAGAGGTTGTATACCTCGATCGAGGTCGAGGTCTCTAACAATGCTGGTAACGGCCCCGGTGTGATAAAGGCCAAAAATATCAACAGATCATCCCTAATCTCTTCTGGACACGCCTCCACATACTCTTCTTCCTCAGTATAGGCCAACAATGGCACCACTCCGTGAATATTTTCTACATACGGACGCCACGAGAATTCATGACTCAAGTCAATCACATTCGTCAAGCTAAGCCGAGCAGCCCCACCTCGAAACCTGAAAGCTTGCATCCCTATATCCGCAGGCACTTCTTGAGGCCGGGGAGCATAACTAGGAAATCTTTCATACGCGAACAATTGTAAGAACATACTCGATGCATAACTATGAATGGTATACTGACCCACCCACCATATCCAATCTTCAATATAGTGACCCCAGAAACAGAGGTGCTAAGGGTAACGAGATTCCTTGTGACAGTTTCACAGCCACATCAATTAATCGTGAATGCACAGTGTCCTCTGGGCACCCTTCCAGAACCAATCTCGCTAACCAATATAGCAGATAGGCAGCAAGCCCAACATCCCGCCCATACCACTTTCCCAATAACCTTCACCTTTGCTCATCAGGCATTCCTTTCTTTGCTGCTTGCACATCCTTGAAATGCATACGTGTCCAAGCTCCAAAGGTGCATTTTTTAGCACCTTTTCCTCTATCGGGGAGCTCTACTCCTTTTCACATTTAGAGCCATAAGTCTTAGCCTCCTCCACCGCGAGGCGTAGCTCAGTGGCTATTCGTTGCTTACTCTCATTCAATACCAGTGCACCTGGATTCTCCAAACCTTCGAAGGACGGCCCATATATTTGACACACATCCTCGAGCGTGGGCGTCATTTCTCCCCACGCAGTCACAAAGGTATGTGTCGCGGTACTCCACCTTGACATCAACAATTGCACCACATCATAATCTCGTGGCAGCGACATAGTTCTAAACAAGTGAAGAGGGTTGTCTAACCTTGCCATTTACAAACGTTGTAGCCATTCCGGCGTTGCAAACACATGATCCGTCCACTCATCCCATCCTCAACCAGTATTGTGATGCGACATTAGATCGATAAACGAAAATGGGATAAACCCTCTTTCTATGTTGAATCTTATCACCGACCCTCCTTGGACGGCTAGGTCCGCCCTAATCTCTGCTTCCGGCTCCATGGCGGCCATTGCAGATAATGAACCCCTTTCTTCCACGTAACGCTCCGATCGATACCAGAAAAAATCCCGTTCACCAAAGAATGGTGCCCGATACCATTCTGTTTTCGGCGACACACCCGGTGGTGGTTCATCCTTCTTACTTAGATCCCTCCTTGGCGGCATTTTCTATCAGCACGATCACAGGCATCTACTGCTTTCCTCACTCTCTATCAGCAACCTTCTGCCTCTGTGTCCTCCTTTCACATGCACTGATATGCACTTTCCGATCAACCCACACCGGTTTTCCTTCCCAAACTATACACCTCCAACTCCTTATAAAGGGCCCTACATCGATATATGAACTGATGCCCCATGATGATTTCTTCACGTCGCCCGTCGTTAGTCACTTCCAAAATGGCGGCATTAATTGATCCATCATGCCCTTACACGTTCTGTGAACCGCCTTTCCAACTTCTACACGCACCCCCTGCCACCTGGCAGCGCACGCGTGCAAGGGGACTCAATGTAGGGGACGTATCCCATGTTGACACATAGCATCACAGGTGAAGACAAGTACATAGTTTTTACCCATGGCTCGGCACTTTGCTTCTGCTCGAGGACAATGTCGAGGAAGAACCTGGTCACCCACATGTTCCCCTGCAACACTTATAAATCACATTTATTGCTTCCCAGCTACCGCCGTTTTCGAAGGGATGTGCATTCAATGCGACAGTAACATCTTTTGGACAAAAGGACCATCGTAGCCCTATGTAACTTTATAGAACCATCATCACTATCCTAGGCGGATCTAGCATCAAAGCCCTCGAGACCCAGGAAGTGAAAAAGAAAAGAAGTTATAAAAGGAGAGGGTTTCACGCCAAGAAGAAGGAGATCTTTTTCATCTTCCATTTTTATTCTATAATTTGATATCTCCCATTTTTCGTGTATTCAATCTAAGTATAAATATAAAGAACCCTTACAAAAATCAATAATTATACTTTTTTAGCTTTAAAATTTTAAAGCAAACATATCGAAATTAGGTAAAGACATGGTCCTGCAAATCATCTAATTTTAACATTATTTTACATAAATATTAAATAACCTTAACAATATAAATTTTAAACTTATTTTGTATTAAAAGCTACTCGGTTGTTTGACAAAATTCCGTTCAAAATAAATTTAGACTCTAAAAATTTAAACCAAATCTCATCACATAATCTCCAGTAATTTATTATTAAACCCAAGTCTTTTAATAGTCTTAAATTTTGGCCCAGATGTAAAATATATCAGTGTTCTGTACAAGTAGGCCAGGCCCAATTATTAATTTTCAGTATTAAATCGATAAACATGTTATCAAACAAACATTTGATAGTCAATGGACTGAAGTGCATATTACATATATACGTGTGTGTATACACACTGTATATAGTCGTAGAATATGCATACTATCGTCATCATTGTTGTCATGACCATTGAACTGTTTCGTGCAATACTAACACTTATAGTTGACTGAAGAACACATCAATATGTCCATCCAACACACATGTACATGTATAAAGTGCACCTTGCGTAATTGCCAACTAAAACTATTCTTATATGCATGCATGAATTATGAATACGGGGTCACAATTTTATTCATAGGTCGTAATCATATCGTGTCAATTTAAAAATATTATATTAAATAACTTAATTCTTACACGACTCGTTTAATAATCGTATCAGAAATTCTCAACATTTATCCAACCTATTTATTAAACGGATTACACATGTAACTTGTTTAATGACCTATTTATAAAAAATATATATATATTATTTAAATTATTAATAATACTCAATAAAATAATAAATACTAGAAAAAAATATGAGTTTTAATCAATCAAATTACTAAATAGTTTCTAGTTTACAAAAGATTAAATTATAAGACACAAGTTTATATAGTAATTTTAGAACTTAAATAGAAATTTACTTACGACATATATAGTTAAACGTGTATAAACGGGTTACATAGGTTGAACTCCTCAACTTAAATACGATACAATTAACTAAACGGGTTAATCTTGTCGACCTGTTTATAACCCAAATCCGTTTAAAGTCAGCCCAAATTCGTTTAAAGTCAACCTTAATCCGTTTAACTCGTGTTATGTTCGAGTCATGTTAACAGATAGTGTCAACTTTTACCACTCCTATATAGGATCATATGTGCTTGCATAGATGTGATTATACATATATATCGAAATAATTAATGAAGTGTGGAACTTCTATCAAACACTTTGTGCAATTAAAATTAATTGTATGCACGTGTGATCGTGTGTGTGTGTGTATATATATATATGATTGTATATATAAAAATAATTAATGAAAGTGTGAAATTACTATTAAATACGAAAAAAAAAAGAGATTTATTTGATCCAAATTATATGATTTTAACCGATCACAACATGTCATGTTGGAACTAAGTACAAAAAATAAATAAATAAATAAAAATAAAATAAAAACTGGAATCACTTGAAAACAAGAACCTTTTTGGCAGGGGGCAAAATTCTATGGTTGGGGGGCCGAACTTACAATTAATATAAGACCATTTTAAGCAATATATATATATATATATATATATATATATATATTCAAATGCGGATCAAGAATTACATAATGAGGTGGGTTAATCTATTATGGGGTGAGCTAGTACTACTAAAACATTCTTCTTCTTTTTTAGTTGGGCTAAAATTACCTCTAGTAAAAATATATATATTGGGCTCAAGCCCACAAAAGCCCATATTATCGATTTTAGTCATACAAAAATTTATCAAACCAACTGTAAGCCTATTTGTGTAAAAAAAATTGCATATATTCGGTCAAAAATGACATAAATGTATACAAAAATTAACCAAAAAGACCAAATCAAATAATTATCTTTGAGACAATAAAATTCATATATTATCGATTGGTAGCTTAACTTAACCATCGTATAACCAATTAACCTGAAATTAATCAATCAATTAGTTATTTAAAGAAGTTTTTTTTATTTTATCAAACTTCCATAACAAACACAAAAACAGTTAAGCCAAAATTTTAAAAACTTTCAACCCTAAAGGAAAGTGAATATATTATCTATTATTGCAATTGAGTTTAGTTTAATATAATATTGAAAGGTTTAAATATATATATATATACACACACACACATAAGAAAGTTGTGTATTTTTAATAGAAATTTAGAAATCATTTATAATTAGAAAATATTCTGAGGGGCCAAGTATGCATTTATTTATACTATTTTTCATTTTAGGTAGTACTAATAAAAGTTAATAATTTTGCTCCCCAGAATAGAGATGATTTGAGAGTGAAGATTATTTATTGCACTGTTCAAAAGAAGAAAGAAAGGAATGAAATAAAATTTTTTTAAAAAAAAAACAATAAATAAATAAAGATTAATGTTATTCCTCATTCGGAAATTTCTCCATTACGAATTCTGATCATATGATTTTGGTTGAGCGATTTATTAAAAGATTAATTTAATTTTTTACAAATCTAAAAAACTTTTCCATGATTAATAATAAAAAAAAAAAAACAAAATGTCCAATTCAAGAAAACTGAAATTAGAAAATTCTTTACGTTACTTTAACACGTTTCCTGACATTACCTTTGTAGTATTGTATTGGATATATTTTCTAATTACAATTTTGATATTTTATTAGTTCTATATGGATAATAATTAACTCTTTCTGTCTCATATTCTTGGCCCTCTTTGTTTTTTTTAGATGTCTCCAAATACATTTCTCATTAAAAAAACTGAATGTATTATCGTGTATGATATTTCTAAATCACCTTTTTAACATTAAATTGTTTAAATAAGTGCATTAACAATACAGTTTTGTCTTTTAACAAGATAAATTTGATAATTCATTCTTATTAAAATAATAATAATAACTCACTAGTATAAAAAAATTAAATTCCTCAAAAGACCCAAAAATTCGTGTTCAAGCCTTGCACGCTTCTGTTCTCTCTCAAAATTAATCACACTCCTAATAGTCTCACCTTAAAAAAAATAAAAACCCCCAAAAAAATTTGGGCCTGAGGGAATATTTATTTTAATGATCAACCAACCTCTATAATAAATTGTTCTCTTGTAACCTAGAGGAACTACTTAAGAGCGGGGATTTCAACGGGTTTGGGGTAGAGGTTCCTTCCTCACCCCTGTTTAAGTTTTCCGTCCTCGGTCAACTGTTTAGAAAACAACTCCTCCACCCGTTTAAATTCAATTCAATTCAAATCAATTCAATTCAAATTATTTTTAAAAAGAAAATATTTTTCACTCAAATTTAAAAAACACATATTTATGAATATAAATCAAATAAACATTATACCAAATTTAAATAATTGTACTAAATTAACCAAAAAAAAACATTAACATTCAATAATTCATCCAACCATATGGATAATTTTGTAGGTAAAAAGGTAATTGTGTATCAATCAACTCACAACCGAGAGAGTTTTCACTGTAAAACTCAATAAATCAACAAACCAAAATTGAGGTGTTGCAAGTGCCAATAAAGCCGGGTATTTTACCATCTCCAAGCAAGGCCTTACCGGTCCGTGCAGAATTAGTTGAATTCGAATTCCGTTGATTGATTCCATCGTTTCAAGAAAGGAATGTTAGCTATTTACCCAAAAAAAAAAAAAGGGAATTTTGGCCACAAGTTCATTTTAATAGCCATGATTTTTACATGACAGAATTCCAAAAAGACCACAAAATTTTGTGCCGCAGTAATACTAATAATGTTGATAAGTATAACTTGATGATGATGATGATGATCTATTATATAGTCTATACTCTATAGAGGACTTTTAATATGAGGAAGATATATATAGTCAATAAAACAAATGAAGCCCGCTAATCTATACAACAACAAAACCAAAAAAAACAACCAAAATTACATGGATGAATAGTCTTTTTTTCTCAAGCCTTTTTGCTCCATCTTTCAAAAAATCACTCAAAAAAGGACAATCACATACAAAAGAAATTTTGTTGCAATCTATTCCCAAACTGTTGAGAGTAAGTCAAACCTGTCAAAGCCAAAGGGCACCAGCTTCTCTCAACATAGGTACCAACTCACCTGAAATATGAGTTGCCATAATTTTTTCCAGCCCACCAAACAACTTCCCGCCAATAAACACCACCGGAAACTTTGGCCGCCCATCATTTCCTTCCTCCACACCGCCCATAATTCTCGACAATTCTTCGGTCACTGCAGCTTCATCAACCTCCAGAATGTTAGGGTTCACGCCATGCCCTAAGAGCAAGAGTTTCACCACGTGGCACATGCAGCACCCTCGTCCCCCAAACACCATCACCGCATTTTCCGACACCAATTTTTTCACATTAATGCTTCCGTCTTCTATGTCTCCGTTAGAGCTGGTTTTCTCTGTCGCCGGAGACTGACCGCCGGCGGATATTCCGGTGGCCGGAAGCCATGTTCGGTAGGGAAGTGCCCGTTGCATTGTACTACTGGTACTAATTTTAGAGAGAGAAAGTTAGAGAGAGAGTGAGGAGGGGGAAGGAGGCATGAAGTGCGTGGTGGATTAATATATCATTGGGAGGGGACGACTTTAACGTCAACGGCAGTGACGCGTTCTTTTACGTCACGGTTACTGTTAGTGACGTGTCGTTACGTCAACGATCGCTCGACTGGATTCCAAGTAGTTACGTCCACTTGACGACAGCCTGTTATATATATAGATAGATATATATATATATATATCTCTCTCTCTCTATCTCTCAAGCCACGCGCTTTTTGGGGTGGTGGAAATTTTGGGTATGGTACAAAACGTGAGTCCACCGACCACCTTTATCTCTCCGTCTAAAATAGGAATTTCAAAACTTACTTTTTCTTTTTGCTTCTTTTGGTAAATAATACTTAGATTTTAGATATTAATATACATATATATATATGAAATTATATTTTAAATCCCACAATTACACGAATGATCAATAGGCTCTTACATTTTATTTTTTTATTTTTAAACTACTTTCAATAAATTCACACCCACAATTGAAGTGAACAGTATTACCTTGTATGTATAGTTTCTAATTGACATTGACCAGAATAAATTTGAATACTGAAACTTGGATTTTACAAAAGAAAAAAAAAAAATATATATATATATATATATTAGCGAATTACATGATCTATTGACTCACGTAGGTTTAACATCTTTGTAATTTGGGGGTCAAAAAATAATTGATTTGTGACTAAGATGGTGTGTCACTAAAGATTGGGTTTTGTTGTTGAAATAGTGGCTATTAGGTTAGTCCAGTCTTGGTGGTAATTACAATAATACAACAACCTTGGCGTGAAAAGGAAAGAATAAGCACTATTCAGTCCACTAGCACGACAGGTCTGTTTGGCGCAGTTGATTGAATCAACAATCTGTATTAGTCAAAGATGACATATATGTCCCCATATATTCCATAAAGTTGGATAATTTTAAAAATAAAAGATTAACCTAACACACTTGCAATTTAGATTTGCCTTATCCCAAACCCACCGCCCTGTTTTTTTTATAAATAACTAGGAAATTTGTTTTTCAAAATGAGAAAATATGTTGACAATCCATTCTATTTTGAATTTTTGTTTTTATTTAAAATAAAATAATATTTTTTTGTTTTTGAGTGTATTGAATAGTGATTGAAAACATATTTGATAAAATAAAATTGTTACAAATTTTTTTAAAATAAAAATTTTAAAAATATATTTAATAAAAAAGTATTGAAAAACTGACAAAACAAAATTGCTATTAAAAAAAGCCTACTTAAAATATAGTATGACCAATTCAAATACTACAATTTAATTTTAATATAATAATAATGGAAAAAATGCTTCCAAAGTGCGCAGGCCTAGTGAACAGACAAAATCACTCCGGATACCCGGATAGTGCGAAGTGCAGAGGGCAATTTTGTAATGACTCCATACATCAGCACTCACGTAAGCATCGGTACGATAATAACTGTTTGGAACGACACGTGGCTTGGATAACATCGGTATCTCAACGACGTGGTCCCCACACTGATATGTAACCTGTCACTGTCGGCCGCGTGTAAAAAAATTAAATGGGATTTTATCCTCTGCCAGCGACGTTGAAATGGCTTTAATCGTGCGAAGTATGTGGGACCCTAACAAAAACGACGGTCGTTTCGGCTGTGTCACACGTTTTTTTTATGTGACGGTCAAATATAGAGAAACACTTTGTTGTGAAACTCTACGCCACACACTATAAGAATACAATACGTGTGCGCTTGCGATGATGACAAAGTCATGTGATGTGATCACGTGGGACCCAGCTGATGATATCCTTGCACTCTTACTACCGTTGGATCATCTGACTAGACCTTTTTTCCTTCGCTAAATTCAAAGTTAGATGAGGGTGTCCACATCTTCAAGTAGCTCTACAGTAAATGTGGGGTCTGTATTGGCCTAATTCATAAATATCTTAGAAGCAAAAGTGCGAAAAAAAAAAAAAAAAAAAAAAGGAACTATTCACCTTGCTATAAAAGGTTGCAAATACTCCACGAGACTTACCTGATTGATCAATTATAAGGTTGTGTGTTGTCACTCCCTGATTGGTCAATTATATTGCCAAGCTGATATCATATACTTGAAGTAGTTAATTCTTGAAGCAGTGTAGTTTTGTTTGAGGGTAAAATTTTCTTTCTATACTTTCGGCAACGGCATATGATAGGACTGGGCAATTTGCAACCATTCAGTAGTTTAAGGGGGTTTGTTGTAGCTCAGGAGGGTTATGTGTAAATGGGGCATAGTTCAGGGGTTTTTTTTTGCACTTTACCTTATTTTTTATTTTTTCTTTAATCAAGTAACAACTTGTGATATCCCTCGGATCCGAAACACGAGTTGATCAGGTCCAGGCCCAAACTCGAAGGAATATCAAACAATTAAAGTATTTTAAAGCGAACACAGAAGACAAAATGAAATAAAAAAAAAAATGGAATAAAACTGAAAGAAACATTAATTATAAAATCCTCCATACATAACTGAATAATAAAATTCCAATCCTCCAAAACTTCAAGGTTACAACTTGGGAATCCACTGGTGGACCCCTAACCAAAAGTTTAACTGAAATTGAAACTGAAAATAGATAATGCTAGAAACATCGAGAGAAATCCTACGTAATCAGATGAATGCGAGACTGTTCTCAACAAGCACGATCAAGTTCTAAGGCTGGAACCGTCCTGTACCTGAAAACAATAATAAATGAGTGGGTCAGACCCACGAGCAAGTTCTAATCTAGCTGCAATCCATACAGTGACCCGATACGCAGATATACCGTAGACACCTCACAATATCTATCTAGTCCATACATCTAAATATATCCACACTAAGGGACATTCACTGGTCTATAATAGGGGTCTCAACCTGAATAGAAGGAAACATGCGAATACGCACCCAAAGGTGGGCATGAGTAACTAGACCTAACAGGGTACACCTCAACTTATTATAACCAGCTACGCATCCACCGTATATACGCACCCTAACCAACGAGTCTGAGACTCAAGCTCAGCTCGTGGTACCATAAACATATATATAAAATCCATCCAAATCCAGGGTATGTAGTTCAAATATTTAATAAACTGACATACAACAAACCAACTGGTTAGTCACTCAACTTATTCAGTTGATGTGACTTAACCACCGTCCATTAATCCAAGAAGCCACTCAACTTAGTTACAGTTGATATGACTTAACCAAGATTAGGATTCAATATTTATAAATCCATTTCTTAAATCCGTTAGGTTAGGTTTAGGTGTTTGGAGCTAAACCGTCACCAGTATGTCACCGTCCCATACCGGTGCATACAATCCTCCATATCCTTGTAAATTACATCATATATATAACAGTTTAGTAATTTACAATCCAAAATTAATATCCAAATAATTGCAGAAGAAATATTAACAATCTAGCAATTAAAATCCAGTAGTAATCCATGTAATTGCATCGAAGAATTAAATATTCTAACAATTAACATCTAACACATGCATAGTTCAAATTTAATAACACAATGACCCTATCATGTATTTAAAATTAGTTCTATAATAATATTATAGTCCAATAAATCGCTAAATTAATTTAAGCGATCTAGTTCCCTCCATCCAATAACAGAGTACAAAGTCATATACTTATATTTTGTTGTATCTTTTAGCACAGAGCCCCCACTATGCCACAAGTCCAATATATTACTTTAAAAGACTTCATCGTGCATCTAAAATAAATTTAAAAATCATTTTATAGCACCCTAAACCGTCAGATTAAAATTAATCAACAAATCTCCTTTCAACCGTTAACTATACGCAAAGTTGTCAAATAGCGTACTGTTAATTCTATTTAAAACTAAGGAGTAAATTTATGCAATTCAAGACCTTAGTTAGATGTTAAAATTATTATTTAAAAACCCAATTAAAAATTTAAAACTGTTCAATAACCCAGAATGCCCAAACAGTGACTGAAAGTCACTTTTACGCACAAAACAAAGAAAGAGCCTGCTCTAGAAAAGTGGAGCAGGCTCAAGGTGACATAGAGCCGGTTCTACCACACCTTGGAGCCGGCTCTAACAGGTGGGAGCCGGCTCTTGGCATTCCAGAGCCGGCTCTCTCTCCCCCTGTGAGCTTCTTCTCCGTTTCAGCTTTGTTCTAACCTCTGTTCTAACACCGGCCAACTACAACCCTTCTGTTTGGTTTCTTAAACTGATCTTAAGTATCTTATTAACACCCAAGAACATCCCAAAGGTTTGATAACAACCATTAGACCCAATCACAGAGATTAAATTTTGCTACCAAACTAACATGCGATAGGAACAAATCTGAAACTATTTGACAAATTGAAACGGACCAAATTGCTACACATATTTAAAACAGAATAATAACAACCCTATGAGTTTTATATAACCCCAGTATTGTTCCTATATTTTGTTTACAGTAGTTGCAATCAAATACAGAGACTAAAGTTACAACAGAAACAATATGCTTGCAGGACAGAAAACTGGAACGAAACTTGTATGCACTGTAACAGATTTATTTTCAACACCACAGATCATCAATATAGCATAAGTTAAACAGGTAAATTCCAGTTACTGAATGATTAAACCCTAAAGATTATATAGGTTCACATAACACGAGCCAAAGAGAAGGAGAAAGAGAAGAACTTGCCTATGATTTCAATTATGAAATCCCTGTGTCGTCTCTAAGTTTTCCGGCAATTCTGAACGCCGTCAAGCTTCCTATAACTCCGTCTCTAATCCTTACTCAACCTCCTTGGTCCTCTCTGTACAATTCCTCTTAAGCCTCACTCTATTTTCCCACAACTGCACTCTGTTTCACTCTCTGTATCTTTGGTACGTGAATAGGGTTTTTCCAACCCTTGATACAAATTATAACCGTATATATATATAGGCGTAAAAATCCTAAACCCTAATCCTTGTTCAATTAGAGTCAGAGCCCTAACTCTAAGCCTAGTCAGCCCATGAACCTATCTCTGTTACCATATTGCGGCTTACCTATACGTGA